AAAAAAAAAAATATATGATTATAGAAAAATTAATTGATAATCTAAATGTTAAAATGGATAACAATTAAATAAGTCTCAATTAATTTGTTAAATTAATCTCTAATAACTTGATACGACAATATCGTTGGCTGGAATCTCATTTATGAAGCAAAGTTGCCTCTCTTTTCGCCTGTATGAATAAATGAAAAGATATTAGCGGCATTCATATTACAGATTGTCACGTTCGCCAAGGGGATGAAATTTATTACTTCAAATTGGTTACAAAATACGCAATAATTCTCGTATAATTTATGACCATACCAACAGTGTTGACGACGCATCCTATGAATACATCTTTCTCATATAATGTTATACATACGAGAGCAATACGAGAGAAACCAGGTGGATTTAAATATTCATACGCAATGTATCTCGTATATCAGTTTGCGAGTACTACGAATACTAAGTCTACGTATACAGAGTGTCGTTTTAAAAAATCCATGATTTTCTATTTATCGATTTATCCTAACATTTATACTGTAAAACATAGAAGATTAATAATTTCGATCATAAATTTAAAAAATATCGCTTTAATATATTTCTATTAAAAATTATTGAAAATATATAATTTGTTATGAAAACGGATAAATAAATATATATTTCATAATGTTTGAAAATCAATATCATATACTCACGAATTTATTTTATTATACATTTTCAAACTGTTCGTAAAAATTATTTAAATTTTAATTATAATGTTCATGTAGAAAGATAAATGTTTCACCCTGTATACAGTATCACACATAGCCAAACACCATGTCCGTGTAAAAGAGGTTGTTAATTTCTCCCTGTAAGATCCACGGCGGTGGGCTTCATTAAAAATTGAACTGGTCAGAATATCAGAGAGAAGAATAAATTTAAAACGTATAAGCCATTAATTAACAGTCCAATTGCCGATATTCTTATTCCACGAAATGAAGTTTACATACGCAGTATTTGCTTCGAAAAAAAAAATATCTTCGTAAATACACCAATTTATTTCTGCAAAATATAAAAACTATATATAGCAATACTTGTGTATAAAGTATATATATTACATTTAAATTGCTTACATTACGTAAAAATTTCCATAATTTTTTTTCTTCTCTTCTACTCTTCTCTTTATTTAATATGTTATTTTAATTGAAAATATTTCAAGAAAAGAATTCTTTTCATTGACAAGAGATCGCAATAAGAACTCTATACAAATACATTTATAGCTGCTAGGTATCGCGAACAATGAACTCATGGGAAATAGGTATACTTGCATCGAGCATAACATATTTCTATATAACTGTAATGTTTATTAGTATATATATCTATTAAATCTGAATTAATATAATGAATACAGTTTGATTTACAAAAAATTTTGTCTAAAATTTCCACTTAATTGTATTGATTCAAATGTGATTAAATACATTATATAATGTAAATACGACCTATTTCTTCTTAATATAAATTTTATTATATTTTACTTGTATTATACATTATTATATATTTTAATTATATTAAAAGAAATCTTCATATTCTAAATTAATATATTATTTGCCATAATGTTTATTTGAAACAATTCTGATTAAAATACACATTTTCTTAGATATGTAACTGTATGTTAAACAGAATATATATAATTGCTGGTATTCATACACATTTATTGAAATTTAAGAATTCTCCTTTCTTATGCTAATTTTGTTCTTTTTATGTATCTTTGTTCATTGTATGCATTCTGAAACTGCACCTATCCGAGTGAATAAAATAAAGAATAAAGGCACATTAAACGTGAAGAATGAGAAATGCAAAATAAAGGCAATATACAAAACTCGAAACATACACAATCGAATGAACGAATAATTATTTTTAACTGTCAAATAATTATTAATTATTTAATATATAATTATAATATAATTAATAATTATTAAATATACAAATTAATAAAAAATTATAATAACTTATCAAAATAAATTATTAACATTTTTCTAAAAAAAAATATAATATATACGTAAGTACATATATACATATATTTGAAAAATATACTTGCAAACAATATGTAATAGAGTTCTGTATCACGCATATAGCTCGACGAATTTTTAAAATTTTCCTAAGTACATTCACAATGTGCAACAGATCAGCCAGGTAAGATACAAAGAGTGGGAATACAGAAAGGAAGCTTCTATAACGGTAATATAAAATATAGTCAAATTATTGCACACAGAAGATAAGAAATGAACTACATTGTTTTTTCTTCTGAAGACGATCTAGATAAATTGCGCATTATGAAAGAGACTGCATTTCCTCAGGAAATATACAAATGTGTACATATAGAGATATATAAGATTTCCATATGTTATTTTAATAATATCAGTATTAAATAATGCCAATATTTTTTATGAAAAAAAAATATATAATAAAAACTAATTTTAACTAATTTTCCATTGAA